ACTTAAAGAGCGAGACGGCTGATCTGTAGGACCGCTCGTCTCTGTGGAGATCTCAGAAACATACTTACATGCTGGTGAGGAGGATGAGCCCAGAGTGGGATGAAGAGGCGGGAAAGAAAAACAGAGAAACAGGGCGATGATGTCACTGAGGAGGAAGATGTTTAGACTTCACAAACACTTTTTTACACATGAACATCGTCAGCCTCTTCACCACAGGTGGAGAACTCCAGGCCTCGAGGCGTCCTGCAGGTTTAGACGTGTCCTTGATCCATCACAGCTGATCTAAACGACCTCCTCAACATGTCCTGAAGTTCTCCAGAAGCCTGATAATGAAGTAATCATTTGATTCAGGTGTGTTGACCCTGGGTGAGATCTAAAACCTGCTTTTCCCCGAGCTCACCACAGCGCCATGTTTTTTTCATGAACTGCAGAGCAGCTTTTAAGATCCAGGTGATTCATAGAAGTCCACCATCCTCTGCTTGGCCACTTTAGGAAGCCTGCCGAGGGGCAGCCCGGTCTAACAACGCGTTTATGCTACAGCTGCCCTGTAATAACATAACAGTCTCTACATCATCTCCAATAACTACAGCAGCAGTAAGGCCTTTAATCATATTTTAGTGACAAAATGTGAAGCTGATTATTTTATTATTCTTTCACTAAGATGCCAGATTACAGCTCACGTACTTGGACTCCTGAACAGAAAGACGAGCTTCAGCTGCTGGGAGGTCGTTACTGAGGCCTGCAAACATCCAGGAACACCTCAGAGTGAGCACAAAGATCTGGGCTGTTCAGTCAGCATCTTTGTGGCAGCTGCATCCACAGCAGAGATCCCAGCGTGGTGAGGAGGCGTGGGCAGGTTAGTGAAAATCAACATGAACAAGAAGGTCGAGTGGACGTCCTGGAGGAGAAGTGAGCGATCGTGCGCTCAAACACAACAATCGTCACAGCTGCGCGGGGACAATCTGACCAGGAGAGATGTGGAGCTAACGGACTCAAAGATTGAAGTTTCTTTGGAAGTAAAAAAAAAAGCTTTGATGACGTTTCTTGGTAATCTTTCTATCATGGACAACCCCTGTCACCACATGCACGCCTCCATGATGGACCATCGGAGCGAACGCAGCAAAAGACTCAGAACTGACCGCCACAGGAAATCCAATAAGACTGTTTCACTCTTCCTCACTCTGTAGGTGATTTTCCTGAGACTATCACCAATGTTATTCTGTTCCCTCTCAGACCCAATATCACCCAACAGTACTTATTGAATATGTGTTTCATCCCCATCACACGCTGCTGCTCCCTTTGTTCTACTGCTCATTACTGTCAGTTTCTAGACTCGCCTGCACTGATAGTTCAGTTATTTATTCTCCAGGATAGAGTTATATATATTACTTCACTGTCCTACTGTATGTTACTGTACACTACTATTCTTATTGTATATCTTATTCATCTGTTCCTCTGTCTGTCCTGCTGCTCTGAGCGTGTACATGACAAAAGAGTTCCCCTCGGGATAAATAAAGTCATTATTATTATCTGTTAGCTGCTCTGTGCTCTTGTTTGTGTGACCAGAAGGGGGGCACACACCTCTGCAGGAAGCATGTGAAAATCCCCTGCATACAACAACATTTTAATACTGGTGATTGTATAATCTCTTCTAAGGCAGGCCCCCCCAGCTGCCCCCCTGTAGAGCCACCCCTGGTGACCTGCTGCTTTGTCCCACATTTACGTCTAATATGAAAATTCAACATATTTAACAAGGAAACAGCTTTTTTTC